CTATGTACACGTTTTGCACCAAATAGAAAAAGTTAACGCAAGCCCTACAGTCAAAAAGCTTGAGTATATATAAAGCCCACATTGCCCACTCTGCTTACAAGCCATTGTCATTCCTCATAAACCCAGCAGTCCCATGTCCCAGGACCTTGGGCTGATGGGGAACACTGTTCTCATTGCACAATTATGCAGGGTCCTAAAACAAACAAACCACAGCCTGTCTTTATCAAAATTTTTGATATTTTGGTCATCAGGGGATTTTTTCCCTTAACATTTGTATTTTCTAATATTGCACTAAAATTTTTCTCCCAATGATCACATTTTTGGTGCCCCCTTAAATTTTTTGCTTCACTCACTTCCTCCTAATCCTAGCCCTGGTGAAGAATGACGATGTCGACAGTTTACTCACAAATGATTCATTAAAAAAAATATATGTGTATAGGTATTCATTATACATGGGCTTACTCATATACATATATATTATATAGGTGTGTGTACACACCTGCACACATACATACGTACACACACACACAAAGACATAAGCAAATGTGGTAAAATCCTATCAATTGACGAACTGAAGTGACAGATGTACAAATATTCATTGTATTATTCTTGTAATTTTTCTGTAAGCGGAAAGATTTTCAAGATATAACAATGGCAGGGGAAGAAATTAATAAATGAAAATAAAAACCTGATATACATTTTTTTATAGGTTAAACTCATGTTGAAAAATGAAGCTGCTATTTTGAGCATGACCTGGGTCTTGTCCTGGTACTGACTCTGCTAAAGGAAGGAGATGATGTATTTCGCATGCAAACGTCCATGCAGGAGCGGCCCCTGGCGAGGATTTGTGATGGGAGGAAACGTGAGGTCCTCCAGCCCCCCCCCCCCCCCCAGCGCCCTTCCCTGACAAGGATTCATCCCTCAGGCAATGTCTCTGAAGCGTCAGCTCTCCTCTTTGTGTTAAGCGCATAAAACTGTCTCAGCAATGAGCGTTGTTACTGAAAAAAGTATTATCTGTAAACCGCAGGTTTGTTTGACATGGCAATATTAGAAATATCAGGGAGGAGGATTACTTTGGGAGAAATGGTTCCTTAATAAAATATGAACAAAAACTTAGAGATGTTGAATGACGTACCCAACCTTTTAAATAATTTATGGGCTTTTCAAAGAGTTGAGGTTTACATCTTCAAGTGACACAGGCAAGCTTATTTTTTTTTAAATAATGGGTCAAGGCAGATGATGGATACAGTTAGATAAATGATGGATGGACAGACAGACGACAGACAGACACATGGTATGTAGATAGATATATTAGATGTCTATATAGAGAGACAGATGGCATATGAACAGATAATATGTGGTATTTGGTTATGCAAATACTTTTCCCTTAAAATGATTCATTATATATATATTTAAAATTATTTTATATTATTTGAAATAGTTTTCTTAATCAGTAAATATCACTTCTGAACATCTAAGAAATAATTCAAACATTTTAAAAGATTTATAAAAAATGAAGTTCAGGGCTTCCCTGGTGGTGCAGTGGTTGAGAGTCTGCCTGCCGATGCAGGGGACACAGGTTCATGCCCCGGTCCGGGAAGATCCCACATGCCGCGGAGCGGCTGGGCCCGTGAGCCATGGCCGCTGAGCCTGCGCGTCCGGAGCCTGTGCTCCGCAAAGGGAGAGGCCACAACAATGAGAGGCCCGCGTACCACAAAAAAAAAAAAAAAAAAAAAAAAAATGAAGTTCACACTAGTATTATTTAAAATAGCAAGAAATTAGAAATAATCTAAGTATCCAACAATATGGAAATAGCTAAGAAATATGATACAGCCATTTTGAAGGGTAGTTTCAAAGGGTTTGAAACTTAGAAAATCATTACAACATACTTTGTGGGGAAAGCAGGAATGAAAACATACTTTTATAGCAAAAATAAACAAATGAGACCCAGTCAAACTTATAAGCTTTTGCACAGCAAAGGAAACAAAACAAAAAGACAACCTACAGGATGGGAAAAAATATTTGCAAACGATGCAATCGACAAGTGCTTAATTTCCAAAATATACAAACAGCTCATACAACTCAGTATCAAAAAAACAAACAACCCAATCAAAAAATGGGCAGAGGGGGCTTCCCTGGTGGTGCAGTGGTTGAGAGTCCACCTGCTGATGCAGGGGACACAGGTTGGTGCCCTGGTCTGGGAGGATCCCACATGCCGCAGAGCGGCTGGGCCTGTGAGCCATGGCCGCTGGACCTGCACGTCCAGAGCCTGTGCTCCGCAATGGGAGAGGCCACAACAGTGAGAGGCCCCCATACCGCAAAAAAAAAAAAAAAAAAAAATGGGCAGAAGACCTCAATAGACATTTCTCCAAAGAAGACATACAGATGGCCAATAGGCAGATGAAAAGAAGCCCAACATCGCTAATTATTAGAGAAATGCAAATCAAAACTACAATGAGATATCACCTCACACTAGTCAGAAGAGCCATCACCAAAATGTCTACAAGCAATAAATGCTGGAGAGGATGTGGAGAAAAGGGAACAGTGCTAACACTGTCGGTGGGAATGTAAATTGGTACAGCCACTATGGAGAACAGTATGTAGGTTCTTTAAAAAACTAAAACTAGAGTTGCCGTATGATCCAGCAATCCCACTCCTGGGCATATATCTGAAGAAAACTCTGATTTAAAAAGATACATGCAACCCAGTGTTCACTGCAGCTCTATTTACAATAGCCAAGACATGGAAGCAACCTAAATGTCCATCGACAGATGAATGGATAAAGAAGATGTGGTACGTATATACAATGGAATACTACTCAGCCATAAAAAAGAATGAAATAATGCCATTTGCAGCCACATGGATGGACCTAGAGATGATCATACTAAGAAAGACAGAGAAAGACAAATACCATATGATATCACTTGTATGTGGAATATAAAATATGACACAAATGAACTTACGAAACAGAAACAGACTCAGACACAGAAAACAAACTTATGGTTACCAAAGGGGAAAGGGTGTGGGGGAGGGATAAAGTAGGAGTTTGAGATTAGCAGATACACACTACTATATATAAAATAGATAATAAACAAGGACCCACTGTATAGCCCAGGGAACTATATTCAATATCCTGTAATAAACCATAATGGAAAAGAATATGGAAAACAATAGACATATGTATGTATCACTGGATCACTTTGCTGTACACCAGAAACAAACACAACAATGTAAATCAACTATACTTCAATTAAAAAAATACTTTTGTAATAGGATTGCTACATATATATATATATATATATATATATATATATTTTTTTTTTTTTTTTTTTTTTTGCAGTACGCAGGCCTCTCACTGTTGTGGCCTCTCCCGTTGTGGAGCACAGGCTCCGGACGCACAGGCTCAGTGGCCATGGCTCACGGGCCCAGCCGCTCTGCAGCATGTGGGATCTTCCCAGACTGGGGCACGAACCCATGTCCCCTGCATCGGCAGGCAGACTCTCAACCACTGCACCACCAGGGAAGCCCAGGATTGCTATATTAAATCAGTCAAAGAAACAAACAGAAAACCATCATGATGTACTGAAAATACACTGAAAAAAGTCACTAAAACCTTAATAGTAAAAATTAAATAATAAATGTTAGATACACACATGAATAGTTCTTTTAAAATCCTGTCACCCAGCCAGGGACCTTGCCTAATCAACTTATCTAAAATAGTGGCTCTCACCATCACTCTTTACCCTAATCTCCTTCATTTTTCTTCTTATTTCCTGACATGATGACACGTGTATGCTTATTCCTTGTTGTCTCCACTAACACATAAGCTTTTCGAGGGCAAGGACCTTGTCTTTTTCACAGCCTCAAACCGTGTCTGGCACATAACAGATACTGAGTAAAAATGTGTGAATGAATGAATTGAGAAGTTACCCTAGAGCACTTCAAATATGACTTGAAATTGTGAGAAATCACACCACTTTGGGAATAAAACATTCCACATCCTGTGAAAAAAATGAAATAATCTATATTAGTGCTCAGAACCCCCCAAAGCAAGCCATATAATCTCATCTAAACTAGATGATTCATCTGAGGGTCTAATTCTAGCTTGATGGACTGGAAGGCTCAGAGGGAATCTAAAGACTATCTCATGCCCAATCATAAATGCTAAAACATCACAACCCCAAGATGCAGGGATCTGGACTTGTTCTGCATCCGTTCTGGATCCAGAAGGCTCGGTTCTGGTGAGTGATTCACACACGCACACGCCCCTACCAGAGTTCGGAGGTTCGTACAAACGATTCGTGAAATCCATGGTCCGACGTTTCAGAAAGTGAATGCCACAGCAGGATTCTAGACAGACTGAACCCCCTAGGACATCCTGGGGCTTAACACAGACTTCAGACATTCAGCAAGATGCAGGTTGACCAAAAAATGCACTCCCGAGAACACTTTGAAGATAGAGAGCCTCCAATTCCTGCATATTCTATCATATGTATTTTAATTTAGCAGTATTTTCCTTTAAAGTTTCTGCCTTTGATATTATGATTAGAAAAGAGCTTCCCTTTCATGTACATTCACGAAAATTTTATTCCAGTATTTTATACTATCGTTTAAAATGTTTTAACATTTTTCAAAAACCAAGATTCGTTTTTAGATGATTATGTGAAATAAGAATTTAATCTTTATCCCCAAATAGTTAACTAATTAAGATTAACTTATGTGATATTCCAGAGTTGTGAAAATCAGAAAAGGTCCTGAACAGTATTAACAGAAATATAATGCTAGCTACATGTGTAATTGAAAATTGGATTGTAGTCACACTTAAAAAGTAAAAAGAAGTGAAATTAATTTTAATAATGAAATATACCTAATATATTCAAAATATTATCATTTCCATGTGTAGTCAACATCAACCAGGACCTCAGTAAGTGCAAGTCTCAATTAACTGTGACGGTTTAAAGTATTTGGCTTTTTTATATATAAAATAAAACACAAGAAAATAAAATTTTAGCAGAGATTTATTCATGGCAGGAAAGAAAGAAAGGGGGAAGAAGGGAAGAACTAAATCAGGAACCCATCTTCGAATACTCATATTCATCCTAATCTTACCCACCCAGATTTATATGTGTCTACACGCTATTCAGAATGGTGATCCTTAATCAAAGATCATGAATCTTGAAAAACAGCCTATTAATTTCACCCTACTTCACAATTTTTTAAAGTTTCTTAACAGCAAGAGCTAAAAACAGAAAAGTTTCTGATTGCCCCTTGGTTAAAGAGAACATTAAACTAACCAGGAGTTTTCATTCCCCACGTGTGCCAGTCCATCAGGGATGTGCTCTAACTAGCTTAGCTCATTTGAGAGTCTAGCTGTTGGGTGTTACACTAGGGAGTCTAGCTGTTGGGTGTCTATACTAGGTACCCTGGGTACAGCAGGCAACAACCTGTTTATTTCCAAGTATCTTCCCGTGGACAGTTGGGACTACTGGTATAGGAGGAATTTTTCCAGTGGCTCCGGCAGATACAGTTTGTGGATGGTCTGATGACAGGTGCGACCCAAGCACTTCCGGACACACAGGCGGCACAGCTGGGAAAGAGCAGGCGGGCCTGAGGGAGGAATTAAAACGCGCGGTCACAGAGGCCGTGTCAGGAGATGTGCTGGGGCCTGACAGGCCACAGGGACCTCCTGGCTCTAGCTGCCCATGCGGCGGTGCTGGCTGGGTCCCCACTCACACTCGGCAGGGACCTCCAATCTCGCAAGGATCCCAGCTCAGCAGAGGATCTGGAGAAAGGATCCAACTCACTTAGACCCCATTATACCCTGAACCTCAGTCTCATGGGGTCTCATGGAGTCGCCGTGCCCAACCAAGGCTTCGAGTCCCGAAGGAGAGCAAACTAACCAGTGTCCAAAATATGGGTGAATAGGCTGACTGAGCATTTGGCTGGGATCCGTGTCACACAGGGGCATTTGTAATAATGCCCCATTATTTCCTTACCTGATGGTATCAATAAAGATGGATGCAAGTAGATGCATGTGATTACTGGACTAGACAAAGTTTTCCTTTTCAAGAAAATCCTATTGTCACAGCGTCTAGCACCCCATGAGAAACGGTGACTACACAGGCAAGTAAGTAGCTGCATGACACGTGGATTGATATTGCCAAGGAGCATTCACGTGACAGAACGCTACCTGGAGGAGCAGACCATCGCCCTTCCTTAAAACCTTGGGAAGCGAGAATGCAAAGTGTATCTCCTGTCACACAACAGAGTGACCTCTGACATAGCTGCTATTCATCCTTCTAGAGCAAGCAGCTGTATTTATGAAGACAGAGACAGAGGAACTTGTTTACAAGAAATATGAATCCTGGACCTGGAAACATTTTTGATGCAAGCAAACAGGAAACGTGACAACTGCTATAAACCATATTCTCGGCTAATAGTTGTTAAGTGTCCCATATTTCCAAACTGGGAGCTGGTAAGGAAGGTCCTAATTCTTCCAGTAGAGGTTCAAATCAAAGAACAATCATTAATGACACAGACTACTGGAAATAATCTAGACCCATCTTACTCAAAGTGACCTCAGACTGGCAGCATCAGCTTCACCTGAGAGCCTGGTGGCCGTGCAGCGTCTGGGACCCCACCCCAGAGCTCCTGAATCAGAATCTGCGTTTTAAGGAGATCCCCAGGTGATTCATACGCACATTGAAGCTTAAGAAGCACTTGTCTGGAGAGTATTCCTAAAACTATTGAACCAAGCATCCCACCTGGAAGGCATACAAGACATGGGGGCATTTTCACAAAATGGAACTGGTGAGTGAAATTAAACTCTTCCTCATTAGAAACTGTTTCAGAAGATTCAGGATTGGGGCATCAGAACATTAAGAGTGCACATTGGGGCTTCCCTGGTGGCGCAGTGGTTGAGAGTCCGCCTGCCGATGCGGGGGACGCGGGTTCGTGCCCCGGTCCGGGAGGATCCCACATGCCGCGGAGCGGCTGGGCCCGTGAGCCATGGCCACTGAGCCTGCTTGTCCGGAGCCTGTGCTCCGCAACGGGAGAGGCCACAACAGTGAGAGGCCCGCATACCGCAAAAAGACAACAAAATAAAACAAAACAAAACAAAAGAGTGCACATTGGAAACTTATGGTTACCAAAGGGGAAGAAAGGGAGGGATAAATTAGGACTGGGGGGTTAACAGATACACACTACTATATATAAAACAGATAAACTACAAGGACCTACTATATAGCACAGGGACCTACACTCAATATTTTGTAATAACCTATAAGGGAAAAGAATCTGAAAAAGGATATATATACACACACACATAATACTTATATATACATACACACACATATATAGCTGAATCACTGTGCTGTATACCTGCAACACATTATAAATCAAGTATACTCCAATAATAAAAAAAAGAGAGTGCAAGTTGGAATCCTATTCCTTGGTTAGCATCCTAGACCTACTTTTTAGTAGCCGTGTAACCTTCTGAAAGCCCATCTCTTCATGCCCCTCATTTCCCGCTTGCAGCTGGGATAGCACCAGTTACTATAAAGTTCTCATGGCTTTAAAGTTTTGAGAATTCAGTGAGATGAATCTATGTTTCAGACCTAGCTCAGCGTCTGACACGTGGAAAGCTGAATAATTATTATTACTTTAATAGTCTCCCGAGCATACAAACGCTCAGAAGAGGCTCAGATAGTGTTCTCTTTCTGTAGGGACACAGCACGGTTCTCTTTAGAATCTGGGATATGAAGCCTTGTAGACGCCACCTTCCCTCCTCTAGCATCTAGAGATGCGTTAGCCCATGTGGACATGGGCGTGGGGCAATGCGGAGCGCAAACCCACCTACTCCCTGAGCTGGAGAACAGGCAAACAACTTCACTGCTTAGTCCAGTTTCTGAAAGACACACTCTGTGTCCACCCGACTATCTCTACTCAAGTATTTTTCATTTTCCCTGAACTGCCTCCAAAAATTACAAAGCAGAGTTTTGGTCTGCTCAATCACGTGCTTGTGCCAGGATAGATAAGACAGCCCAGCCCTTTCACCAAAGTTCTCTGATTATTTTCTTGTTAATGCAAATACAAAGCAACGTACCAGTGGTATGTAAATGTCCCTTTGTTATAAGTGAATACACCCAGCAGACAAAAATCCCATCTCTGAGATGCTAGGACTTGCCCCCTCCCACGTGCCACTCCCAATTAAAAAGACACAAAGGAAAGGGTAAGAGAGTCTAGAGGGGAGACTGGAAGGAGAGAGGGCGAATGTGCCTGTGGAAGAGAAACGGACGCCCAGCCCTTCCTTACCTTCCCGGAGCAGAAGCGCCTGCTGCACGCCGCTTTTCGGAGCTGCCAGATCAAGTGCACTCTTGCCCTGAGCGTTTTTGCACTTGAGGCTAGCCCCGTAGTCTATCAGCAGGTGGATGATTTCCACACTGTTCTGCTTCGCAGCGGCATGGAGGGGGGTGTCCAGCCACTGGCCGTGGTCAACATTGGCCCCTTAACAAAGCAGATGACCACAAGTCAACACCCAGGGTTAATGGAGAAACACTACGAGCCTGAGATGCGCTAGCCATTGATAAAGACATCTTAAACGTCATGACATATGTGACAAATCTTTGAAAATATATGACTGAAGCTCAGACCCCCAGCAATGCCTACTGTTTCCAAACACTCTGATGAGAAAAGTATCGAATAAAGGTATTTTTAGTTATTTTAAATGCTTCACTTGCCTTCCCACAGGAACTGTGTGACAGAGAAAATTAAATCTTTGCAGCTCCTTTTACATAGTTATTTTGTTTTTTGGCAAAGGACACAGCTAGGTTTACTGGGTATTTACATTATTCTGGGCTCGAAAAAAAAGTTTTCTGAATTACTATAGGGAGTGGTAAATGATAGGGGATAAAAAAAAGACAAAAAAAATCTTAGAGACAAAAATTCTTATTTAAAGTTTCTTAATACAATCTCGACCTTTACGTCAGTGGCTAAGTTTGGGGAATCTTTAACCAAATAATACTTTCAAGACCTTTTACTTTTCCCTGGACTCTCAGTTTCTGTACATGCCTTTGAGAATTAAGCAACTAATTTTGCAGGGTTGATCTAAAGTACTCTATGACAAATGTCTGCTGTTTTTACTAGCCAGCATCTTCCTGGTAACCACACCTAGATTTCCCTCTGGGGAACCATCTCTCGTGATTCCCAGCTCATGTGCTTCCAGTGAAGCCCAACAACTGCAGTGTACACTGAAATCTAGGCCTAAGCCAGTCTGTATATTGTATTCCCTTGGCCACCATGATTGGTTCAGAAATGGGCATGTGACTTAAAAAGAGCCAGTGAAATACAATTGGTTGTTTTCCCCTAGGATTTATGGGAAAGAGACTCTTGCTCTCTCTTCAGACCTCCAAGGAGAACCATACCAGGTAAATGGAGCCAATATCAAAAAAAGCAGAACTGAGAACTACAGACACTCATCTCTGAAGTTGTTTTAACCATTTAGATATCAAATGCTGTCAGAATTTTGTCCAGCCTGACAAGCACTTCGCCTCTGAAGCCATGGAAAACCAACGAGGTTAACTGGTTCTTCTCATGAAAAGACTTCTGGAAGTTACCTAATTCTAGAAGCTTCTTCACACAGTCTAGCCTCTGATAGGTGCAAGCCACATACAGGGGAGTTCCAAGGTGAGGCACTTCCTGGTCAATGTTAACGTTATTTGCCAGCAGAATCTCCATGCACTCTCTATTACCTGGTGGAACACAAGACAAGCTCACTCAAGTAAGGGAAATATTAACGATTCACAGAATTATAAGATTGCTTATCTGGAGTGGGCTTTAGAAACAACCTAGATTTTTTTTTTCAGCAGGAAAAAAATTTGGGAGGTGGGGGAAATCTTAGAAATCTCCAAAATAAAAAGATTAGAAAGAAGAGCATGCCCATGCACCACCCCCTGCCCCGCTGACATTCTTCCCTGCAGCCTTGAGGTACCTCCAACCAAACTAAGGGTTCCAAGGAACACGGCTGAAATCACTCTCTATAATAAGTCACCGGATTACAGGCAGAGGTTACAAGACCCAGGGGAATAAATGACTCGTGCTCTTATTACCCTGAAAAGCCAGTGCTCAAATCCAAGGCCCAGCCCTGATCCATCCATCTCCATTACAAATCTCTCCTTCTCTTCCTCGCCCATGCATGTAAGATTGGGTGGATGGTCACGCCATGCACCTCCTTATTTTGCTCAACTTGTAAGACTCCTGTGAGAATTAATAAAAAGCCTCAAGTATAGAATCTATTTAAATGCACTTTCAAGTCTAGTGGCCAACAAGAACTAGATAAGTAAGCATTCTCCTTGGAAAGTTCACCCAGTGAAGAGACAGACATGATTAATTTGCAGAATATGAATGATTTGTTTGGGAGCAAATGCTTCTGAGGTATTGATGGGAGTTTTATAAAGAGTTGGTTCTTTTTTTGAAGGTTGAAATGTTTCCTAAAATAAACAAAATCTTATCATCACTGATTAGCTTAACCAACCTTTTTTTTAGAGATGATACCAAAATAAGCTTCATCTCAGCCTGCTTCATTCATCACAAATTCTGAATTAAGCACAATTATGCATTAAAATCTACAAGTAAGGCTTCCGTGAATTCCAACTACTTTACTATTGTTCACATAAGTCAATTTTATATTATAGCATTAATCTGTCAAAGTATTGACTCAGACTGACCCCCTCTTGTTCCTAGAGGTTTAAAGCTGTAAGAATCCAGAAATATCTAATCAGGACCTAAAACTGCCTGGTAAATTCAGTGTATCTAATAAACATTTAAAAGCATAATTCCTGGGCTTCCCTGGTGGCGCAGTGGTTGAGAGTCCGCCTGCTGATGCAGGGGACACGGGTTCGTGCCCCGGTCCGGGAAGATCCCACATGCCGCGGAGCAGCTGGGCCCGTGAGCCATGGCCGCTGAGCCTGCGTGTCCGGAGCCTGTGCTCCGCAACGGGAAAGGCCACAACAGTGAGAGGCCCGCACACCGTAAAAAAAAAAAAAAAAAAAAAAAAAAAAAAAAGCGTAATTCCCGTCTTTTTTTTCCAAAAGAAACTGAGCCTAGCTTGAGTTAAATTTAAGTGTTCTCAGGAAGTTTTAAAAAAATGAATATATAAAAGTCAAATGATTGGCACTAATATAATAGTATCTAAAATAATGAATTTGCTATTCATCCTTCCACTCTGTGGACATTGGTCCCTCACATGTTTTTATGATACAGAAAAAAATACGTAGAGACACATGAATTCATCTGTTTATGATAAGCATGTATATACCGGAGGTACATAGATACCAAACACTCCATATATAACCATCCAAGCACTGCAGAATTACTTAATTCAAATCATTACCAACGTTCATCCACTTTTAAGCATTTGGATGGAAATACAGATAATAGATTTTTACTTCAAATCAATATTTTAAAAATTTTAAACACTTTTATACCATTTCCAAAGTAGACTATTTCCCTACAACTTAAAGGACTTACTTGAAGTTTGGGAAATAATCAGCATCAATTATTAATTAATAAATGTTTGGTAAATATGTACAGGACATCAAAACCATAGATACACGGAGATTTGGGGGTTTTGTATCATTTATAGTAATCCACTGCAAAAAAAAAAAAATTACCAAGTGACATGTTTAACAACCTGGGACAAAACTTTCACTATTGCCTTTTGAAATAAAGACTTTAATTCTCATTATACCAGCGAAGATCACTGTTCTACAGTGTTCTAACTTCTCCACGGTATTTCTATATTTTTAATTAAAAAAATTTTTTTTTCTGTTTTGGCCGTGCTATGCAGCTTGTAGGATCTCAGTTCCCCGACCAGGGATTGAACCCGGGCCATAGCAGTGAAAGCACCGAATCCTAACCACCAGACCACCAGGGAACTCTCTCCACTGTATTTCTGATCTCAATATAAGAGAATAACTCCACCGCTGGGTAACACAGAAAATGTTGCTCTTTGGGTGTGACCTTTGACAAATGGCGTTGGCCTTTCAATGGCTCTTCTTGTTCATGTCTAGTCTATGCATACAGTTTTAAAATTCCTTAATTTTACTCTTTTCCATCATTTCAAAAGCAACTGAGAACACAGAAATCTAGAATTCACCTCAAGGTTTCCAATGCCACGGTTTTTACAGTGGCAACTTTTTTTCAATAACTAATGACCTTGAGAGCTATCAGCTCATCTAGAGTATATTGCCTGTTGTGCAGTTACCTTTAATCCTCCATTAGAGACACTATCGGTCTGGGCTTTCAAACACTTTCACCACTTACTTTATGGCGGTGGTTGATGTTTTATGGGCTTTGGGGCATGAACTGTTCTTTTCTAGTAAGAACAGACACATAAACACAGTACAGCTCATGGAAGTTACCCCTGCACTCCTGACTCCACCAGCTGCCGCCCAAACACCAGCAAGGAGCCTCTAGCAAGGCCCGTTGGGAGACTGAGCCCAGGAAAGAGGACATCTGAGGCAGACGGCCATTCCCTGGTTCTGAGAAGAGCTGTGTCATGCCCCAGTGGTATTTCCTAAAGATTGAGGTATATTCAAGTCACTGCTGTGGGATTTCTAAGCCACAGCTAGTCCACTGGGGAAAAAGATTTGGGCGATCCTTGCAAAGAAAACCCTCTATGACTGATTCATGCAGGTAGGAGGGAGCCCACCAATGTTCTGTGTGCGACGCGATGCCTCGTTTACCTCTCTTCACTGCCTCGTGGATGGGTGAAGCCAGGTGCACCTCAAGCTGGGCCTTGGCTCCAAACTCCAGCAGCACGTTGACACACGCAGCGCTGCCACTGCAGCAAGCATTGAAGAGGGGCGTGGCTCCGTGAACTGTCACCCCGTTGACCTAACGGTGGGCAAAGAGAGAACCAGAGGGTTTGCTATTTCTTTCTCACCATCTCCAAGTGCGCATTCCTATGTACCTGCCTGGAGAAACTTCCCACGCCAGTGAATGAACGAGGGAACCCCGCATCCTTACAGTATTGTGGGGTTCTTTTAGGTACCAGTAGCCTATCAACTCTCACCTATAAATATCAATAGTAGCAGAAATGAGGCCAAATGGGACAGTTTGTAAGATGTACTCAGGGGTATTCTAGAGCTTCCTAGCAGCCTCCTAGCTGTGAGGAGTGGTCCTGTATGGTGGATCAGAACATGGTCTCTGGAACAATTAGCTTGCGTTCAAATCCCAGCTCTCTCTCCTTTATGTGCTCAGAGATCTGGTTGGGATACTAACTTTCTGTGCCTGGGTTTCCTTATCTGTAAAATGAGGATCATAAAAGAATCGACCTCAGGAGGTTATTGGGCGGATGAGGTGAGTTACTATATGGTAAACACCTAGAACGTTGCCTGGTGCCCAGTAAGCGTTCAAGAGACATTTGCAGGGGCTTCCCTGGTGGCGCAGTGGTTGAGAGTCCGCCTGCCGATGCAGGGGACACGGCTTCGTGCCCCAGTCCGGGAAGATCCCACGTGCGGCGGAGCGGCTGGGCCCGTGAGCCATGGCCGCTGAGCCTGCGGCGTCCGGAGCCTGTGCTCCGCAACGGGAGAGGCCACAACAGTGAGAGGCCCACGTACCGCAAAAAAAAAAAAAAAAAAAGAGAGACATTTGCAACAATTATCTCCATGATCTCCATTTTCCATTCATATGGAGCCGACTCCCCATGCCAATCATGAACAAACATGTCAGGAGCAAAAAGTATTGGAGAAACCATCTAGCCACAAATTTCCTTTCTGGTCCGGTACCATCCACAGAAACTGCATATGCCAAAAGGGAACCCAAAGAGATCATGACCAGGCGAAATACACAAAGAAAATAGTCATCAACATGGTGTCTCTAACCACCCTCAGTACCTTCTAGGGATCTGAGGGGCAGGGGAGAACCAGCACAGCTGGGAGGCATCTTTGAGTATTAGCACCAGATTGAAAAGAACATCCTGGAACCAAGGCATTCTGGTGGGGAGGCTCTGGCAGGACATGTAGGACAACGAAGGTTTGATGTCAAGCCATTCTGCCTCAACAACTAAGGACATACGCTTGTGATCACCAGGATACTAAATTTTCTTGTTTCAGAAACAAGATCTTTCTCCACAATGCCAGGATAGCCCCCATTCAACTGGAAAGTTAAAGATGAGATGCTAAGATGGCAGAGACGGACAGGGACAAATATGTGTAAATTCATAAACTCTAAGTTTTTCTAGGAGGTTGTGATTAATTAGATGGGGAGATGGAAGAAACAGGATGATTCCAGGCTTGGGGCTGGGGAAACCAGGAATATGTTTCACCTGGTCTCTGAGGCTGGGAATCCAAGAGAGGAGCTGCTCCCAGAGGGAAAACACGATAAGCAGTTTCAGAGGCACTGAGTTCGAAGTACCCACGGACTGCCAATTTTGAGGAATTTTCTACTGATTGATCAACTTTCTTTTATTCCTTCTCTCACTCTGGTTTGAATGTTAAATAGTATAATATTTAGTGACTGTTCCCTCATAAGATTGCCAAAGACAAGGGACCACGTCATACTCTCTGTCCCCCACAGAACCTCCCAGAGGCTCCTCTATTTCCCACCTGTGCTACACATAGAAACCCAACTTCCATATAAAATGCAAAGAAAAATCTTCGTTAGGCACTTAAAAACATTATAGCTCGTGAAACAAAGAATACAAGGACTGAGTTCAAAAACAAAAGTAATGGGCTTCTCTGGTGGCGCAGTGGTTGGAAGTCCGCCTGCCGATGCACGGGACACGGGTTCGTGCCCCAGTTCCGGGAAAATCCCACATGCCGCGGAGCGGCTGGGCCCGTAAGCCATGGCCGCTGAGCCTGCACGTCCGGAGCCTGCGCGTCCGGAGCCTGTGCTCCGCAACGGGAGAGGCCGCGACAGTGAGAGGCCCGCGCACCGCGATGAAGAGTGGCCCCCGCTTGCCACAACTAGAGAAAGCCCTTGCACAGAAACGAAGACCCAACACAGCCAAAAATAAATAAATAAAAAATAAAAATAAGGAATTCCCTTAAAAAAAATTTTAAAAAACGAAAGTAACATCACAATATCTGGTGACTAAATAAAAGTCCTTGAGATTTTCAAAAGTATTAATTTCAGAATTCTATGCTGATATCTGTACGACATACAGCAGCTCAGTCACTCCTTGAAAAGGAGAGAATTTAAAAATAAGATAAAGTTCATTGCGTAGTGTTTTTCCAATGTATTATTTATTACAAGCTCATTTAGCTTGATAATTTTGCTCAACAAAAATCGTTGTGGGTGTAGCGTGTTGAATTAAGAGTGGTTTTTGATTGCTGTTCTTTTATATTTTTTCTTCATAGTTTTTAAAATTTAATTAAATTTTTTTGGCCGCGTTGCACGGCATGCAGGATCTTCCCCGCCCAGGGATGGAACCCATGCCCCCTTCAGTGGAAGCGCCGAGTCTTAACCCCTGTTTTGCGGTACGTGGGCCTCTCACTGCTGTGGCCTCTCCCGCCGCGGAGCACAGGCTCCGGACGCGCAGGCCCAGCGGCCATGGCCCACGGGCCCAGCCGCTCCGCGGCATGCGGGATCCTCCCAGACCGGGGCACAAACCCGTGTCCCCTGCATCAGCAGGCGGACTCTCAACCACTGCGCCACCAGGGAAGCCCCCCCTGTTGTTCTTTTTAAATGTGTTCTTCTAAATGTTTTAAAATAAATTTTCCAAGATCAGTGTTCAAATTACTTTAGCTCAAGCTGTTTTTTTTCAAGTTAGTATCACAGTTCTGAACGAATTCCGTAAATTACCTTATCTGAACGTTGGCACAGGGACATAGAGGCTGAAGAGAGGGGTAACCAGCAGTGTCTTCCCGACCATCCAAGAATATGAGCGCCGATGGGGCCAGGCCTGCGCACCCCACCGCGGGTAAGGGTTCTGGAAGGTGATGGGTCTTTACACGTTAGCGGTTGCACCTGGGCAGCCAGACCCGCGGGCGGGGATGGTACTCACGTGGGCGCCGTTCTCCAATAGGGCCTTAGCGCAGGCCACGTGGCCTCCCAGGCACGCCTCATGGAGAGAAGAGACCCGGTTAATTGTTACCAGGTTCACGTTGACGCCCTACAATTTGGAGAGAAGTAGATTAAAGGCTGCATCAGCAATAAGAATAAACGGCAAGGTTGTCGGAAGTGTTTGAGAAGTGTTCGTAGCCTGCGGGCACCACCTAGAGAGGAGTAGAGGCCGTGACTAGGGGAATCCAAACACAGCTGGGAGCCTCGGCTTCACTGATTCAGCAAAAGCTCATTCGGTATCCTGAGCCAGGCCATGTGCCAGCACCTGGGGCTTCAAAGCTTATGACATGGGTCTCTCTCCTCAAAGAGCTTAATGGGGAGACAGAAATGGTGGCGGGAAGTGGGGTGGGGTACGGTGGGGAGGAACCCAGCCAGAATACTGCCATACTGGAAGCATGTTCACATTTTAATTGGGGACATAGGGTATCCTTGAATCTGCCTTGGGGAGTAAGAGAAAACTTTGCAAATGAGCTAGTATTTAGCTACGGCTTGAAGCATAAAAAATTTCAAACTAGGCCGCATAGCACAGGGAGATCAGCTCGGTGCTTTGTGACCACCTAGAGGGGTGGGAGAGGGAGGGTGGGAGGGAGACGGAAGAGGGAGGGGATATGGGGATATATGTATATGTATAGCTGATTCACTTTGTTATAAAGCAGAAACTAACACACCATTGTAAAGCAATTATACTCCAATAAAGATGTTAAAAAAAAACTAGGAAGGCAAAAAAAAAAGGCATTCCCTTAGGAGGGAACAGGATATGCAAATGTGGGACGCGGAGGAGGGCGAGGCAGGGCACGGAGGTGGATAGTTGCCAAATCTCTGGATCAGAAAGAGCCCACACGTGACAGAGGAGGAAGAAAAAAGGGGAAGTGGGGGGAGGGGGAAGATGAAAGGGGACGGTAGGCTAGAGACAGATCGTGAAAGGCCTTGGTTTCCGAACGGGGGTGGAGGTGGGGTGCATGTGTTATAGGGAATGAGGCGCCTTTCGAGTCTGTTAGTCCGTAGAAGGTCTGGAGCTAATACATAGGACGTTTTCGGAAAAGCACACTGGTAGCACCAAGGAGGGCTGCTCGGAGAGGTAGGGATGTGACACTGGAGAAAGGAGCGTCATGAAGACATGGCGATGAGTCAGGCACAGGCTGATATAGGTGTGAACAGCAGTGGGTACGGGGAGCGGGTGACAGAGTCCAGGGTTGGGGGTGTTAGAAGTGGATGTGGCACAGAAGGATGACGCCCAGGCTCAAGAGTAGAAAGTAAAGGGCTTCCCTGGTGGCGCAGTAACCTGGGAGTCCGCCTGCCGATGCAGGGGACGCGGGTTCGTGCCCCAGTCCGGGAAGATCCCACATGCCGCGGAGCGGCTGGGACCGTGAGCCATGGCCGCTGAGCCTGCGCGTCCGGAGCCTGCGCTCCGCGGCGGGAGAGACCACAACAGTGACAGGCCCGCGTACCGCAAAAAAAGAGTAGAAAGTAAAATAGATGATGCTCCTAGGGTTCCTGTGCCTGAGTAGCCGTGATGCTGACTGCCAGACCTCCACTGCCTGCCGAGCTCTCCGCAGGAGCAGAGTCTGGAGCCGGGGGCTTCCCCTAACGCTCCTCTCCTTCCCCAGATCCGAGCGTCTCCGCCCAGTCCTGGCACACTTGCCCTCCCCATCGTGCCGTGCTCCACTTTCCTCGCCTTGGAGTCCATTTGACAGATGCCAGGCTCAGCCTAGCTGCCGGCCAACTTCATGCCCTGACTCTACTTTGCCCTTACCGCTTGCCCCCATGATCACCACTTTCTATCTGTGAAAGGATTTAGGTTCTGCCAGGACCCAGCCGAGTTCTGCTTTTGATTCTCTGCCTCGTAACTACCTGCTGAAACGCTCCAAAACCTAGTGCAAGACCCTGGACCCCAAACCCCAACCTAAGTTCCCAACCCCTCCCACCAGACCTCCATGGTGCTGGCCGCATCCCTCCTGTGGCCAGCAGCTGGGACTACCCACTATTGCCAGTCCCATCGTCATCTTAGGGCCTGTTTGTGCCTCCTTGGTCCTGTCCATGTTTATATCCTGAATATGACGTCATTACTCCAGAGCCGTGCTGTATATTTACAATTGGATATCTAATACAAGGAGGTTTCTTTTCCTCTTCCCATTTATAATTTCATTTTCAGAAAATAAAGAAAAAATAAGAGCATTTTAAAAAATAGTCCACAAGGAATTCCCTGGCGGTCCAGTGGTTCGGACTTGGCGCTTTCACTGCCGAGGGCCCGGGGTTCAATCCCTGGTCCGGGAACTAAGATCCTGCAAGCCCGGCGGCGTGGCCCCCCAAAAAAAGTCCACAAGGTGGCAGCAGTGTGCTAAAGAAAAACATTGACCCGATGCAAACTCTCAAGAATCCCTGAAACTGTACAAATGTAATGTGGGACAGGCCTGAAAGCTCAGCTAGAGTGACTCACTGTCATTGCGGGTGAGAACATGGGGGAGCAGAGAGTTCAAATTATTAAGATTTGAGGTTCCCCTGCTGTCGGTGACAGCCAGTGTGATCGGCAGAAGCTCCTGACCCCTGGTTTAATGTTTTGCTCACAGCACACCACACTGTCTACACGTAAAATAGAGTAGAAAATAAAGGAGAATAATCCATTTTTTACCAGTGTGTAAGGGTAAAAAAGTGGGGAGGTACTAAGAAAAGGCTGAAGAATTCTCCATGAAGAATGCTCTTTACACGTTGAAGGACACTATAGAAACCAACATGCTTACAAAATACAGTTAAAAATAAAGAAGTGCTAAAAGCAATGTGATATCCTGGACTGGATCCTGGAAGAGAAAAAGGACCCTAGTGGGAAGACTGGTGTCGTCTCAGTAGTCTGTAGTTTAGTTAATGGTGTTGTACCAATGTTAATTTCTTATTTTTGACTAAAGTATCATGGTTATGTATGATATTAACACGAGGGGAAGTTGGGTGAAGAGTATGCTGGAACTCTGTGTATTATCTTTGCAACTCTTCTTTAAAAGTATTCTAAAATTAAAAATTTTAAATACTAATAAAAGTATTGAGGTCGGGGGCCAAGAAGAAGGAGCTGAAAGCAAGACTTTTCACTGTGTACCTTTTTCTATCATTTTAATTTGGAAACTATGTGAATATGTCACATATTAAAAATAATCAAATCAAATAACAGTGTAAGTGCTTCAAGACAGAGGAGGAGGAGGTCGGAGGAGGAGGGAAACAGATGAGGGAGATTAAGAGGTACAAACTTTCGGTTGCAAAACAAATGAGTCACGGGCATGAAATATACAGTGTGGGGAAGATAGTCAATAACTATGTAATCTCTTTGGTGACAGATAGTAACTAGACCTATCATGGTGATTATTTGGAAATGTATAGAAATATCGAATCACTATGTTGTATAACAGGAACTAACATAGTGTTGTAGGTCAATTATACTTCAAAAGCAAACTCATAGAAAAAGAGATCAGATTTGTGGTTACCAGAGGTCGGGTGGGGGCAGTGGGGAGAAGGAATTGGATGGAGGGAGTCAAAAGGTACAAACTTCCAGTAGAAGATACTAGGGATGTAACACAGCATGATACAGCATGATAGATATAATTAACACAGCTGTATGTTATATTATGAAAGTTAAGAGAGTAAATCCTGAAAGTTCTAATCACAAGGAAAAACCTTTTTTCTATTTCTTTACTGTTAAATCTATACGAGACAATGGATGGTCACTATATTGTGACAATCCTTCCATGATGTATGTAAGTCAAATCATGATGCTGTATACCTTAAACTTACACAGTGCCGTAGGCCAATTATATCTCAATAAAACTGGAAGGACAAAAATCAAACCAAATAAAATTTTAATTGCTTACAAATAAATAAGCAAGTGATAAAATTAAGTGCAAAGTCCACTTGATTATTACCGGCAGTACTGTTTTCCTTTTGCCTCCACTTTTTTAAGAAGTAACACAACTCATAAAGGAGAAAGAAAGAAAAGGCACACACATACACACGCAGAGAGAAAAAGAGCAGTGTGTCCAGCTGTTTAAATTTCAAATAAGGAAGCCAGGTTGGGTGGTAGCTAGGCTGTGGAAAAAAGATCTAATGACTTACCTCCTCTGTACACACACAGACTCTAAAACAAAGTAAATGCACTGTGTACACTTTCATTCATCTCACAAATATTTACTAGGCCTCTAGTCATTATTCATGGTGCTAGGGATACAGTCATAAGTAAAAATAAATTAGCTTTAATAACTAAGACTTGAAGAAATCTTCCCAAAGGAGTAAGATTTACCCATTTGTCAACCTATGTCAATGTTTGCTTTTGAAACAGTGGATCACCAGGGTAGGCAGCCTCTAAGATGGTTCCCAGGGATCAAGATGGGTCCTGACTCCTGGTATTGGCTCACTGGTGTAATCCCCTCCCCTTGGACATGGGCGGGATTTACTGACTCCCGTCTAATTAATAGAATACGGCAGAAGCAATCAGATGTCACTTTGGAGACAGGTTATGTACTGAGACTTCCTTCTTAGGCCCTTTCTCATGCTGTCTGTGGAGGAAGCCAGCTACCATCTTGTGACACAGCCCTATGGAGAGGCCCAGGCATCAAGGCACTGAAAATGGCCAACAACCTCATGAGTGAGATTAGAAGCAGATCCTTCCCCTGCTCAAGCTGTAAGATGACTGCAGCCCTGGCTGATACTTTGAAGCCTGCAAGAGACTCGGAGCCAGAACCACCCAGCTAAGCTGCTCCTTGGCCTACAGAAACCATGAGACTCTAAGTGTTTGTTGTCTTCAGCCACTGTGTTTCAAGGTAATTTGTTACAGAGCAATAGCTGACTTATGCAACTTCAGGGCTGCTGTTACTAAGGCACACTGGGAGAGAGCAAGGTGAGTTAGTGCAACACAGGTTTGAGGGCATCCCCCATCAGCCTCATAGGGAAACTTTTTATGAAGCAAAGGGAAACCTAGAAGGGGAAGGTTGGAATTGGACAGAAAACCAGCCAGCTCCCCAAGGAGGGAGAGGCAGGAGGAACAAATACCTGGGAGAGGATGCATCCACGTAGAATGGCTGTGCTGGGAACCAGATGGGGCCAGCAAGACCCCTGCTGCAGTCAAAGCTGATCAAGAATGATGCTTGGTTATAGCACAGGCACCAAGGATCAAGTCTTTCGTTTACTCACCTGTGCAATTAAAGTTTTCAGGGCCAGTAGGCGCCCCTGAGCTGCCGCTTCATGAAGTGGAGACCGATCGGCCCAGCAATCTGAAACACACATCAAGCTCAGAGTCAAGGTCAGGAGTCTTCTTCCTCCAGCTTGTTCATGTGCCCGCCCACTGTGAGAGGAGGTCTGGCGGAAGGGGAGGGGAGCCGGCACCACGCATCAGGTTCTCCGGTCTGCCACTCGCAGGGTGACCAGCCACTGAGGATACAGTCCATGGGCGTGGAGCGGGAGCACAGACCATCTCTCTGGCTTTAGGGGGCAGTTTTCATAAGGAATACATTTCATTCAAATAAATACTGCCCAGTGACTGAATCCGATAACTCTGAATAGGCAAAATGAAGGGCAAAGCTGGTCGATGAACTTCCCCACTTTCTTCTTTCCCCTGCCTCTCCCCCTTCACCCCTACCCTAAGACATCCTATAAGCCAGGAAGGAGACCCTAAGGGCTCAGGGAAAATGGTTTTGTTCGAAACTCCCTAGATAATTCTTTGATTTTGGTAATGAAGCCGGTCTGTTATCATAATGCAGAATGTTGTTTTTCAGATGACATAATCCTCCAAGAGTTTTTGGTGGGCAGTTAGAATGTGATGGCTAAGCACTGGGCCAGTCCTGCCTCAACCACTATCTCTGCCAAAATGGGCAAGTTACTAAAATCATTTGAACCTCAATTTCTTGATCTGTAAAGTGGGGGAATCGTGATCTAGTATTTAGCAGGTTCTTTGGTCTCTAAGTAGGCCAATAAAGTATATCCATGATGTTAGGTGCTCAAGAAAAGTTATGATTAATAAGTACACGTGGTAGGGTAGTGCTCTAAGGAACAGCCTTAGAACTGCCTTACAAATGTATATTTCTTGTTAATTGCTTGTCAGGAAACAAGACTAACAAGCTTAAGTGTGCATTTGAGAAGTAAGCTTCTATTAAACATGCCAAAGGGCAATCATTTGTTTTGGAAGAAAACCTACACTGGTTTGCAAAATTGGGGCATTCTTCAAAGTATAACTGTGCTCTTCACACATCGACGAGCACGTCATACAGTTTGGGTTTAACACAAAAGGCCCATCTTGTCACCTTTTTCTAGGTGATTTGGATGGTGCTAAGAATTCAGGTTTTCCCATACCTACAACCTTGACAAAAACAATCCCAACAAATATGGAATTATGTGAACTTGAAGTAGTGTATCCTCATGGAGAGACTGAAATTTTCCAGTGGATGAGAACCAGGGCTCTAAACATTTCCATAAAAGCTCTTCTTACATTGAAACTCAATTTTTATCTTCTCTAACCCTCTGGGTTTTGAAAAGGGAGAAAGCTAGAATGAATTCTACAGGGTTGGATTGAAATTGGAACAATTAGAACAACTGGTATGAAAATGTGATTTTCAATATATGTGTGTATATGGAAAGATGGTGCCTACAGAAACATCTATGGGCTGAAGGTGGGATCTGGTGACCCATCTGGTTCTCTCTCTACAGATATATCTATATACCTCTACCTATAGACAGATATATAGATATATCTAGATAGACAGAATAGCACTGTATACTGAGAAAACCTAAACCAAGGCTGCTTAGAGAAATGGCTGACTCCGAGGCTGAAATGCCAGGACAAATGTAAGATGGGCCGCAAACATCTTGCCAGAAAGTAAGGAAGTGCTCAATGAACGATGGGAAATGTCAAAAAGTACAGAAGCTGCCTTGAAGGGGCTTCCACTGGCCAAATACGGGACGATTTGAGCATGAAAATAAATCATGATTATACCCTAGCAAATAAAACAGGAATCTATAAGGCCTCACTGATACAAATGAATATATAAACAGGGAGAAGAGAAAGCTCTTCCTCATAGTAGAACACCAACTTCAGACACGTAGGAGAAATAATAGAATCGGCCTCAAATTATCTCCCCACAAAATAATTACATAGTTATCAAGGGAACAGGGGTAATCGTACAATGGAACGAAATGGTAGGCACCACCTTACCCCGGGGATCAAAATTAACCTCAGAAGCGATGGAACCAATTGACACAGTGTGCCATCTGTTGGAACACAATGAGCCACATCACATACTACCGGAGGGAACGCGGTGAAAAGAACACAGCGTTGCTGGGAATATTCCTGCTCAAAATGCATAGCCTGAATCTAATCGTGAGGACACCTCAAACCAACTCAAACTGAGGGACGTTCTCAAAACTAATTGGTCTGTAACCAGATTGAAGGAGGCTGACGAGACACAACATCTAAAGGCAACATGTGCCCGGACTGGATCCTTTTGCTATCAAGGATGTTAACTGGACAGTTGGATAGACATGAATGGAGTCTGGGCAAAGAGAAGTGGGAATTCTTTGTACCACTTTAGTTCCAAAATAAAAAGTGTGTATCTATCTATATCTAACTATATCTGTCCATCTATTAATCTATCAATCAATCTATCTATCTAATCACTGGTGAAATGCATACTTCTGATATGTAGAATACTTTTTCTAGTAAGAAAAACAGACAATTTTAACCTGAAAATATATTGCGTTTGTATGTCCACTTGTTCCTGAGTCAGTTAAAAGCTGATGAGTGGAGGATTTTTCAACCTCTTTGGACATTGATCATTTGCATAAGTTAGGAATAATGAGATAACGTACGCACAGAATCCTCAGTAGTCAGCCTTGGTTTTCTTCGACCACATCTCCATCCCATTCAATATGAAGTGTGCGCCAGACGCGTCGCCCTCTCGCCTCATCAGGCTTGGAGAGGGACAAGCACCCAGTTTGGAAGGACGGTCTTCCCCCATGGATGGCAACTCAGCGCCCTGACCAACCTAAGAAGCAAGCCCACAGCTGTGGCTTTGCTATTCTTTTGTTCTAACAATAGCCAGCCAACTGAGTCACCTGAAGGTACTCTAGGTATTTGCTTCACACCAGGATTTAAATGGCAACTTGCTATTATTAACTTAGAACAGCAACATGAAATGGCTTTATTATTTCTAAAACTTGCCTCCAAGCGGGCCGCGGTGTCCCCTTTCCTGCTGGGAAGCAGGCACCTTAACCACGATTTCATCCTGTTTCTAGTAACTTTCTGTTACCCCTCAGCCCCCTAAGACCCACGCCATCCGTACACACGGCCTGGACAGATCTCTCAAACATCACGCTGATAAAGGCGGCCCTGCACGGAAGAGGATGTGCCAGATGACTCCCTTTCCATAAAGTACAAAAGGGCCAGACTCACTTCGGGCGTTAGGAGTCAAAAGTACCATGAGAAGGGGCAGGGACTGACTGGAGGTGGGTGGGGTGAGGGTCATGCTGATAACGGGCGGTTTCTTGTTCTTGGGAGCTGGCACTCCATGGTGAAAACTCACCCAGCTGTCCGCTTTGGGGTTTGTGCACTTATCTGTATTTATGGCATACTTCAAGAAAGACATTTCAAGGCCACCAGTCTACTGGTCAGTCCGCTTTAAAACTGTTATCTCCACTCCTCTGCCCACTCTCAGGGCAGGGGATGGCCCCCTCTCCGCCCGAGGAAGGGCAGCACGTTCTCAGTTCCTTCTTGAGGTGCCAACAGCCCCTCTGGTGCCGTGGGGGTGGGGAGAAGCGAGAGGGATGGGGAGAGTCTCCCTAGCGGCCTGGAAGAGGGGACCAGTCCTGTGCACTCGGCCTCAACTGCATGTCTCACACCCAGTGCCTTTCCTACGCACTGGCACTTGGCCACCTCTCCTAGTGTCCCCCATCAGTGCAGCATCGTCTGATACCCCCAACTCCCACCCCAGGCTTCCGAGGTGGACGCAAGCGTGCAGGCCATCTTCTGATCCAGGGAGGAAGAGGGAAGGGTGGGTGGTCCTGGGCTTCTATTTCCTCGCCACTGCTTTCCAGCTCTCTTTCTCCCTATTTGAGGAGTCACTTTGAGAACGCACCCCGTTCTGGTTTTAAGAACTACTGGTTTTTCTATCCTGCCCATCCTCCTGGTAGATTGACTTGTTGGGGGGGGTGCCTTCCTACATCCCCCTTATCTCTGTAAATAACATGAAATAAATCAATTGGATTGCCTTAAATGTGGAAGTCATTTCGGTTTCCCAACTGGAAATAAAGCCACTCTCCTGGAAGGCACCTTTCCGGTCAGTCTGTTTCCCAGCACTTGCTTCAAAGGACCTTGAAGGGTTTTCACACAAAACGCTTTTCCAGAAACTCTGCCACGGTGGGCTCTTCTGTTTTTCTATTCTGATTCCCAACACACAGCCTCTTGCTCTTATCATTCTTGTTTTGCAAATTGGAGCTAATTGCGAGAAACTGAGGATAAAAGTTATTTGGCGGCTAGGGAGTTTTTCCATTCCTTTCAGGAAATATGTATCTAAGATCTCCAAATAAATGAATGCTGAAGTAGCAATCAATCCTTCGCTCCTAAGGCAGTCTATTTTCAGTTATTTGGCACGCTGCCTGTGTCACAGGGCTGCAGGCACATTTTGAAGATTGTTTACTGTACAAATATGTCTACTTGTTCCTGATGAGGTGTATGGAAAATGTTCAAGTACATTTCCATTCCCCCCTTTGACTTTTTCTCAGAATGTGATTTATATCTCTAGTTCTCAGGCTCTCTGAATAACAAATTCATGACAATGTCTAAAACCATAGATTTCAATAACAAAATGGGTTCAGATGGAATATGGGTGTCTGAGCTCCAAGAATTCAAGATAAAAATCAATTATTATTTTTATTTTTATTTTTTGCAATTTTTACCCTGCCAAATTCCAACAAGTATTTGAGACGACTGGTTTATTTATTTTTTTAACTGCCTGACTGGTTATTATCTCCAGTGCCTATGAAACAATCTTTATTCGCTTTATTCAAGTTCCAAAATCATATGAAGGAATATCTTCTCCTGTAGCACTTATCAAAAAAATATAGAAAATTCAAATTTGAACCAAAATATAGGCAAGAGCCTAACAGAGTTAATGATATCTTAAGTAAAATAAAGGTAACTGGAAAAAAAACATATTACAAGAAATTTCCCAAGGTATCAAAAGTATTCTAATACAATTGAGTTAAAACGCGTACCCTCTACAACACTCAGCTCTGGCCAGGAGATGAACTACAGTCAATGAACATCTCTTTGTAATGTGTTAGAAAGAAGCTTCCTTTGAACCCATTAGGAGCAGGAGAGCTGAGCTGAAGATGACAGGTCGGGTGGCAGAGCCCCTGCTGAGTGCTGTGTGTCCCAACTTGGGAAAGCCAGCAGGCACCTGTGATATATAACCACTCAGAGGATGGGGGGACCAAGGCTTGAGGAGACAAGCACCAACACTGAACAAGGCGAGGTGGAGGACCGGGCAGGAATGGACCGAAGGAGGGAAAAAAACTGTTGACATGGGAAGGATAGAGAAAAGGAGTCAGGATGGTGAGTCAGGCAGAGGCATGGCCATCAAATCAAGGTCAGTCCTTTGAATTTAGAAAAACAAGGACAATTGATTTTAGGCAAAACACTTAGAATAGAACATATTTTTTTTTTTTTTGGTATGCGGGCCCCTCACTGTTGTGGCCTCTCCCGTTGCGGAGCACAGGCTCCGGACGCACAGGCTCAGCGGCCATGGCTCACGGGCCCAGCCGCTCCGTGACATGTGGGATCTTCCCGGACCGGGGCACGAACCCGTGTCCCCTGCATCGGCAGGCGGACTCTCAACCACTGCGCCACCAGGGAAGCAAAGAACTCATTTTTTTAAAGGGTACAGTAACTCCACAATCTCTTACCTGCAATTGTAAATTTCCCCCAGTTCTGAAAACCAAGTTGGAAACAAGCTCTTCTGGCAGCAAAACATGGTCAGGACTCAGGTTTAGCAAACTATTATTTTTAATTTGTATTTTCACTTAGTGTGAATATTCATATTTTTCACTATAGAAATATCAAAACGTTTGATTACAGGAGGAAGCTCCAGGTCCTGCTGGGAGTGCCACGTCATATACGGTATACACGCTGCATAATGATTCTAGTATCCTCCAGACTCCTGAACCCTAAAACATCTGGCCCAAGGGTTGTCAATAAGAGATTATCAACCTGCATCTACACTTTATTTTTATCAAGTGTGATGACCAAGTCACTGTACTAAATATAGCTTCAGTTCTGGCCAAATTAGCAAAGGTTGAAAAATCATACCCCATGTCTCTCGGGAGAGAGAGTGCCTGCAGAAATATGTATGGCCTGAAGGCGGGGGCCAGTGATGCATCTGGTGCTCTAGATAGAAGAATATCAAGGGCCAATGACAATGTTTCAAACTTAAAAATATATATATATTATTGACAAATTACACAAAGAAGCCAGAAAAAACTAAGTACAGCCAACCAAACATAGCTGAACTCAATTCTGATCAGTTATTTACAAAAGTAACAGTTTAAACCACAAAGAAAGTATCGAATGATGTACTCCAGAATATGAAAAAAAACTTTCCAAAAAATTTTACAGCCAAAAAAAAAAAAAAAGATATTTAATGAGGGATGTGATGCTAGGTGCAGCTTCTAAAAGAAAAGTGCCAGGACCTATGACAGGCTAAACTCTGCCCTGGCTGAGTTTTTTACTACCTCCCCTTGTTTTTTACAACACTGACGATAGTTACAGGAACGGAATATGCTACTGGACTCAAGAAAGTTCTGAGATTTTAGTAAGTCGATTAGCTGACTTACTGATTAAATGTCACACATTTTCCCAACAAACATCTGTCTGACCAACAAGCAGCAAAGGTAATTTCTGGTTTGAGTTGAACACTTAGACAAAATTTTGTTCTTGGTTTTTAAAATGTCTAGCTTTAAATATATATATATATATATATATATATATATTACCTGTTAACAGTGTCAAAAGAAAAATCGCTGTGGGAATCACGTAAAAACCACTGTTTCTGGCGTATTATTGCCTAATTACAGAAAGCCTTATTTACCGAATCTGGATATACTCTCTACTATATACGTGTGTGGGTGTGTCAGTGGTGTGTAGAGGTATACGCAGCGATCCTCACACACATACACATGTATATAGGAAATTAAACTGAGAAATTAACAGGCACTATTCACCCCACTGCTTCTTGTTAGTGATCATTGAAAAACACATTTTTGACTTTAGAACACCATGCCATTTGCAATAGAACACCATGCCATTTGCAAATTAAATGATTATCCTAGGAGCTTCAACAAGATACTTGAGCTAAAAAATGAGGGCGCTCTATTTATGAGAACTGCATTATGGCTCCAGGTTTTGACTCTTATAAAACTTGCTTACGAGTACTTCGTTAAGGACCACAAGGGCAGAAATAATGCACACGAGCACCAGGAGAAAACGTTTTGAACACACTCTTGCTGATGCTGACTGTCGGACTTTACTAATTTAAGCCATGAGGATGATGTATCTATGAGAACGTTAAAACTGTGATGGAAACGTCTAGAAAGCCCCTGCCCCTATTTACAAATTAAATTAGAAAACAGCTTTTCAGATTATGCTTAACTTGAAATTAAGGTTACTTTAAGTCTTTTTCAAAAACCAAGTCAAAGCGACATACCTCCCTGAAACGTGTGACAAATGTAATCCCCAAAAGAAACCTCTTTCCACACTCCGAGCCTTCTGCCACTTCCCGAAACTTCGAGATTCTTCTCATTTTCCCCTGTTAATTGAAGCATTCTGATGCTCTGTCTTTGGAGGTCTTAACTCTTCGGATAAGACTGCTGTTCCCTAGTGTCCTTAAAGTTGTCTGGTGTATTGGAATCACATAACAGAAGTCTATTTTGAAAGAGAATCCAGGGTGCAAGGTGAAATGGATACTAGATAAAGAATGAGGTAACCCTGGAACCCCTGCGAACACTAAAAATACACAGGGAAATTTGGAACTCTGTTTATGAATAAATACTCCTCTATCCAGTGGCAGTCCCAGCAGTAACCAAGATATCTGATTCATTTACTTTCGTAGCCTCTCCCTACAATTAACGTGAATCATTTCTTGAAAGAAATGGAGACTGAATTCTACAAAGCAGGAGACTTTAAAACGTTTGGACCAAAGGTTGGCATTTCATATTACAATAACCTTTGTTTGCTGTGCTTTGCATGGTGCTGGGCATAAATGGATTCAGTGAAGGGTTTTTTCCTGACAGTGACAAGTGGCTAAGCAATTCGAATTGCAGATGACAGCACACACACACACACACACACACACACACAAATACATATATATAGCATATATATTGCTGCTTTAAATCAAATTTACTGGTCATTCCATTTCCTGGGGAAAACAGTTTTGTTAGAATGCACTGCTAACATTTGATTACAAATATTCAAGAAGATAATCCTATAAAGTAATTCTTTTGTTAGCAGAAATGAGTTTTCCCAAAATACTCTTAGAAAGCCACTAGTCTATTTATTCACTTCTTAAATAATAACTGCTAATGAAACTACTAATTTGCAGAAAAGAAAGCTGAAAATCCTTCACAAATTGGTGCAGTCAACACCATTTGCTACTTTAAATAATTTTTTAAAACTACCCACTCAAAGCCAAAGTTTAAATAAAATCTGCCTTCTAGAAATATTATTCATATGAATTATCTAGGAGGTTTCTTTTAAAGTATTGGGAACAAATTCATGTATTTTTACCTGAAATTTCACCATAGATCTCTTCTGCTATCCTAGCCGCTTCTTTTCTATTTCCTTTGACGATATAGAAATGGGTTAGGAGCGCCAAGAACACTTTAATTAAAAGCTTGAAGAAAAAAAAAGTAGCAAACATTGTAATAAAAATGTTTTTAAAGCCAAAGGAAACAGGACCGTCCTCCATTTTGGTTCACACTCTGTATAGGTTCTTGGGACTGCAAAATTTCACTGAGTTATAATCGGTATCATATGACATCTATTTTAAACCTTCTAGCTCTCCGTGTTCCTGTTACAGAGAACTGAGTTTGTAGATTCTAAGCTAACTCTGATTTGGCGACTGCATGCACTGACATTCATGGCAATGTTAAATGAACTAAAGAAACTTCCTTCAAACCAGAAACACCCAATAGTTCTGGACCTACATTCCTCAGTGTTGTTTAACAAACAGGATTCAGGTCCGAAACGTTTCTACTCCTAAATCCCAGTTTTTGCTACATTATGTTGGAAGGCAGGATTGGAAAGATAGAACAAACCTTTCAGATCCCATGGGGACGAAGCAAGTTATTTGAAGCTCATGGAAAGAAGTACTAATACATTCTATGCTCTTGGTGGGAAGTACCAGCCCCTGGAACGTTTCATTTCCTCTGCATTCTGAGGTTTACGGGAGATAAAGCCCAAATCTAAAATATGACCAGTTAAGAAAGATGATTTACTCTAAGGCAGTATTTAATAAAAGGCCCAGCTTGATGTTTTTCTTTTGGCCGCACCACACGGCATGTGGGATCTTAGTTCTCCAACCAGGGATTGAACGCGTGCCCCCTGCAGTGGAAGTGTGGAGTCTTGACCACTGGACCGCCAGGGAAGCCCCTAAAAGGCCCAGCTTGGAGGCCTCTCCAGACTGGAAGCATTAGACCACTGCCTGTAATAGTTTCATCCATGACAAAGTCCTCCGGCAACATTCCTGGTCTTTTGCTTCCCATTGTAGGTGTCAGTAAAGGTGGTGCCTCGTTCTGGAAAATGTGGGCTATAGTCGATCATGGAGGGCTTGCAATGAAATGGATGAAGATGATCTAGGTTCTGGGTGAAGTACCCAAAGATTCTGTGAATCAGTACCTTCCCTCGCTGGACAATATTCTCTTGTAACCCTGATTCTTTGACATGCATCAGCTGGCCAATACCGGTAAAATTGATTTATGTGTAATTTTCCTCACCTGGGAAGGAATAGATGAGGAAACTCTAGGTCTCCTGTTTCATTCTTGGCTATATTAGATTTTCTAAATTTCTACAACCTATTGGAAAAAACAAGCCCAAACAAAATTATAGGAGACAACTAAATCAATCTTATTTAATAAATGCTTCATGCAAAAATACGGGAGTTTCTCCTAGCACTCAGGCAAAATAGAATGACTCCCTATGTAAGAACCGCCTCCCTGTACTCTGTGAAAAGGGTAAGGCATGAGAATCAGCCTTGAGTCACAATATACAACATACCCATTTCTGTGTATCACCACGCCATCACGAGCTCGTGCGGTTTCCATTCTCAAGGACGTATATTATATAAGGTTACTTTACCAAGCTTAGATTACCTGGTAGCGTGCCAGTGTATGAAAATACATCAACACAAGTATTTCAGTTCTTTTCATGTCTCTTTCTCCAATTGTTCTGTAAGAAGGTGATCATTTACTCACGTCAGCCCAGTGGTGTATCTAGAATTACATAACACCATTCAATCTTGTTTTCGCCCTAACTTTCATTTAAAACCTCGTTGTTCTTTTTGTTTTACATACCAGAAAAGCTGGCCATGAGGGCTTCCCTGGTGGCGCAGTGGTTGAGAGTCCGCCTGCCGATGCAGGGGACACGGGTTCGTGCCCCGGTCCGGGAAGATCCCACATGCCGTGGAGCGGCTGGGCCCGTGAGCCATGGCTGCTGAGCCTGTGCGTCCGGAGCCTGTGCTCCGCAGCGGGAGAGGCTACAACAGTGAGAGGCCCGCGTACCACAAAAAAAAAAAAAAAGCTGGCCATGAGAAGGTCAACTTTTGTACTCTTTCAGAGAGACCATCTTTAGCACGTTTGAGCACTACATTTGAGATGGACGTAAAAGGCTACTGAAGTAAGGAGTTAACTCATGGTATCTTTGAAGGAGGCGAAACCATCTAGAGCTCCAGGGTTTCTCAGCCTTGGCACTACCGGCATTTTGGGCCAGATCATTCTTTGGTGTGGGAGGCAGTCCAAAAGCATCATAGGACATTTAGCAGCATCCCACCTGATGCCACTGCCCCACTCCTATCCAGCTGGAACAAACAGAAATGTCTCCAGGCACTGCCAGATGTCCCCCGGGGGGCAAAATCACCACTGCCACATCCAGTTGAGAATCACTGAGCCACGACCAAATATGAAGGATAAAGGAAAATCAACTCCCCAAAGTACTGTGAATACAAATCAAAATCTGTAGAGAACTTTAATTTTCAGAATTTCAGATTTTAAAAATCCAGCCGTAGAATGATACAATTTAACATCTACCCAGATTCTTTTGCGAATGCAGAGAAGGATAAAGAGGCCTTTAAAAATCCTTCACGAAACTAAACACAGACCTAGGATACCCTGACTGAGCCAAAAATGTTTTGGTGGAAGATAAATCAGAACATATCAACGTAGGGGACTGCTTCCAACAAAGTGGGTTGGAGAAGCTGGGCATTGGGCTGCACCCCGCAGGCCTGCAAGCCCTATACTTGCCCAGCCTCAAGACCGAAGAGTCTACAGTCAGCGACAGAGATATCAGTGGTTTGACAGATGGGGGATCTTACACATTTGAAGCAAGGTCCTGGAGCGACACCCCACGGCGTGCGGCAGACAGCAGCTGGCAGGATGGCGGGACATGGCAGGAGTCTTCGCTACCCAGGGAAGGGGCAGATTTACCAGTTATAGGGGAATTGACGTCAGGTGGGCTCATCAGTTACCAGGGAAACCAGCAGAGGGGCACGCCCCTCACGGCTCCTTTGATAAGTTATCAGGTGAAGATGTTCTGATCTAAAGATTAGAATAATCACTAGCTCAGGTCGGGGCAGGAATGTAGCAAGGTCAGTCATGTGAGTGGGGTGTAGGTGAAGCAGGCACTGGTCCGGCAGGGGATGTACAGAGAGCATGAGAACAGCCATCTTGGGGGGCCTGATCATACACTGGGCTTCTGTAAATGAAGTCAAAATTCCAATTTCTCTTAAAATAGCTTGCAAGATATAATGCATAATTATGTAGCTCACATGCACAGTACTGTACAGACGTATTCATTTGTCTCACGCAGTGCACTGAAAAACTCTAATGCACTGAAAAACAAGAGTTTGGATTAGGAAACAAAGGCACAATTGAACTTGCTATTCCATGAGTAAAAGAGAGAATATTGTAGAAAGAAAAGATGACAGAGTAATTCATCAACTGAAGGATATTTCCTGTTTTTCTAACAGACTAAGCAAAACATCAAATTGCACTGAAAAAAAAAAACATGGGAGGTAGGGGCTGGGGGCAGTGTTGCTCAACTAGTAAATAATATTCTGTTCTTCAAACAAGACAAACTCAAGAAAAATGTCAAAATGTCATTTTGGTCTTTATTTTTGGACATGTAGCATGTTTCCATAAATCAGTTTTACATGTGCTACTTTTTGGAACATCCAAAGAAATACAATATATTTTTCATAAATTCCTCATCACTGCAAGTTCACTTTCAAATAAATGTAAGTAGCAGGGCAGAACAATATGTTTCCACATATTGACCAGTGCAACAATGACAGTTACAATTTAGGTATTCAGGAAGCCTGAAAATTAAGATTTACTAGAACAAGCAAATTTACTTCCATTTGCTAAAGGGGAAAAAAAAAGGAAAATATGCAAATTACATGTTTCATGCAAGAACTTTAAATCCTATTTATTTTCCATCTGAACTAAATGGCAATTTAATAGACAATTCTGAAAAAAAAGCTAAGAAACAAAAATAACATACAAGAAAAAACAGCAGTATGCCTTTAAAAATTGCTGAACAGAATAAATTAAACCAAATGTTACAGTTTCTTGCTTTATCATGAATATTGGCACTGTTTATTTCATATTTATATAAGTCAGTTTCTACGCATAAAAATCCCAGTAAGATTTAATGGTTTGGGTCAGTCTGTTTTTCTTTAACAAAAGAACCCCTAACTTCTAGATTTTAAAAACTGCACTCTTGCATTTGTGTTTTAGTACAAAACACAAATATATTTCTTATGTATCAGTGGCAACCAATTAGTAGGTATGTTAAGATACTTTTTCAAAAGAAGTTCTGTGAATGTTGTCATTAAAAAAAACAATCCTGTACAGAATCGCAATACTGCCAGCATCTAACTAGCGCGCCCCCAGTGCCTCATTCTTGTGACTTCACGGTCCTTAATCACAAAAACTTATTCTAAGGAGTTCAAAGAATTAATAAGACACACCATGTGGATAACTGGGGGTTTAAAAACCCATGGCTATGGGCCACAACGATTACAGTTAACAACATCCATCCACAAAGAGACTGTGTTCCTAAAATTTTCAGACTCGATTGGCTATAAACAAAACATTCTGGGGTCAAGACTTCTGCACACTGACAATACTTATCAGGCATCAGCTAGGCCACAAGTGAAGGGAAGTGACTTCTATCAAAGGGACAGGGTAGCAGCTGATTTTGAGATGGCACACCTCGTACACTGCGCTCGGAAAACAAGAAGGCATTGACAGGACTCAATTATGCACTGCGAGATGTGGAGGGTTTCTCTGCACTATCATCAACAGTGGTATCGGTCCCTAGTATTTAAAAAGCAAAAAGTATTTTCATACACACAAGCGAAGATGAAGGCTCGACCTAGGAGAATGCATCCAACAGGATTAAAGCAGAACTGAGAGTACGCCGGCGATTTTTTCCCGGCATTAAAAGCATGAGCATTTTCGGCATGGCGGATATCTTAGCACTTCATGTCAAACCTGACTATGACGAAGTGAGCCATCTGACTGATCAACAAAGAGCGAATGCACCCCCCCACCCCCCACCCCCGGTCCTTACCGCAGGAAGCATCTAGTTCAACGTTCTATGCCTGGTAGGTGCTTAAAACATGCTGGTCGCTGACAGCGCATTTTACTCAAGAAACCTGCTGATCATATGGAACACTTACTGAGCATACCCAATAAAAGTTTAAGAACACGACTTAAGTGTCTAATAAATGTAGTATGAACACAACTTAAAACAGTTCACAGAGTTGTTGTACTTCCCTAAAGAAAACTTGTAAACATCTGGTGAATGTCTAATTAATGGTAGAACATTTAAAATTGGCCAAAAAATGCCCAGAAAACGTTTGGCCCTTCAGCACCCAAAGCTCCCAAAATATAACGTTAAAACATCTCTGCTAGAGGGATTTCAGTAGTCTGAAAAATTGCATACCTGAGTGGCTTCAATGTTCTCTCCTAAATTTTAAATAAGTGCAAGGAGTTTCTACACTCAGGAATTGCATAAGTGTTTATCTTTCCTCAAAATAAAACACGGAATGATAAAGAGGTAGCATAACTTACTATTAACTTTAAAAAGAAAAAAAGCAAGGTTATTTTCAATAGTCTTAATAGAACTATTACAAGTGTTTCAAATCTCACAATCCAGGCTTTCTTCTACCTGGTTTTAGATACCTCGTTGTTCTCGTCCACCTTTTTCCTGTAAGGATACTGATGAGTCCAGGCACCCTTTGGCCCCGTGGCATCTACTGCAACATCGATGATAGAATCCGGAGTCACCCATCTCAGGAAAATGAGGAAGAAAAAGCTGAATACAGCCAACAAAGCAAAAATGCAGCCTGTCAAGGGGCCACACTGAGAGATGAGTCTGTCCAGTCGTTTGTCCATCGATAACACAGCTTCTCCTGCCACTTGGTCGTACACCTGGCGGGAGAGAGCCGAGAATGAGCACCGTGAGCCACAATAAACAACGACCTGCACAGACCAGGAGTGCTTTAGAGATGTCAACAGAAGGCGCGTACATTTCACTGTTGTTACAGAAATGATGTGACGAATGAAACTGATTACACTACGTATTGCCATTTGAGACAACACTTATGGAGTGCCTATTCTGGATGAAACACTGGGGTATGTATACCGTGTGGTACAAAGATGAATCTACCACGGCTCCTGTCCCCTAGGGGATCCCCATCAATATTTAACCAACTATGAGAATTCCAAAGTCCTGAGACGCTGGAGCGGCCTTGCGGGCCACCTGTCGAGGCCATATTTACTTCAGCAGTGACTCCCCAAGCAGGGAGGAAGGACTGGCCCTTTAAGATTCCTTGACTCCACTACCATCAGAGAGTTAACAATCTAGTGTGCTTCTGGGTACAGAGATGCTCCTCTTTCCACACCCAAGTGACGCCGTGTTGCTGAGCACAAACGGGGAGAATATACAGAGACATTTCACGGATTCCAAGTAAAAGGAGCAGAAAGAGATGGGGGAAATTTTGGTAGATAGTATAGGTCAAACAGTGGCAAACAAAATAAAGTTTATTGCTGAGCATTGGTAGTAGGTGGCTTGCTTTTTTAAAGTATTGCTAAGCACTAAACTCTGAAATATTAAAGAAAAAAACAAAGGTCCTTGAATATACTTATTTCAAACTCATAAAATGGGCCGGCATTCACGTTTTTTAACTGCATTTGGGCATTACCTGTGGTCACGCTCACGTTATCAGACCTGTAAACCATCTCCTTTTGAACTCAAGAAA